GCATCTCTTCACACATATGCTAGTAAATACACTAGTGTGTGGTTATTAAAAAACTTTCATGGTTTGGTATTAGTTACTGAGGATATAGACAGGGAGACAGGGTTAAGGGTGAACTAAGAGCTGCTTGGTCCATTATGAAAGTGAGGTGAAGATTCTGTTCGTCTCATGGACTCCCCAGCCGTGTTAATGTTGTTGTTTACAGATATCGTTCTCTAAAACATGGAGGGAGCTTCGACAACCATTACTGTGATGGAATCAGATCAAGTGAGATTTGGTCTGGGGCAGTGGCTTTTGCAGGCTTTCCAAGGAACTACGAGGCCAAAATATTTTCCTAATAGCGAGATTTGTTTTCTTTTTCCCTTTGCCGTTTTCTCTGTGTTAGTGTTCACGCTATTAAGTGAATTTGTTGAAGACATTGCTGGCTGGTCAGAGGCCATCACAGTCTCTGCACTGTCTGGCAGCTTATCTCAATAGTGAGACAACAGGGGACTCCCTCCCTCCAGCAGACCTTTCTGCCTCTACTTGTGCCTATCTGGAGACTGTCCCTGGGCCTGGAGGACTGACTTATCTGAAAGCTGTCTCTAAACTAGATGCTTTCTTCATCTCGAGCTTGAACTACGGCACAGATTCTTGCTAGAAGAAGATTTGTGCTAGGGGTTCTGCTATAGGACCCTCCTGCCATAGTAAGTCTTGTGACCGGAGATCTCGTGCCACTTAATGCAAATTAAGGCTTGTCCCCAGGCTCCCCAATCCTATGTATTCCTTATACTCTGGAGTAAAGTTGAGCTGATTTGCTAAAATCTGTCTCCGGAAGACTGTCTCTGTTTATGTTCTCGGTCGCATGCAAAGCTTGCTGTCTTTCCTTTCTGCCTCTTTCCCCTCTCAAACTGATGACTGACAGAGCGAGAAGGAAAGAAGACCCCCACATGAATTTGTTGACGTCTTAGCATGAGTTAGGGTAGGCAGTAATCCAGCAGTAATAGTCTGAGTCTACGTCTCTCTGCATGGCTCAGGAAAATACAGAGTAAACACCAGATTTTCTCAAGAATGGCCATGGTGAATGAACTGATGCTTTATTAAATGTCTGCCTATAAGCACACACTTTTGAAATACCATGAGTGAAATCTCATGTATTGCATCTCAAAACTCAGTTGTTGTGTTAAGACGGTAAGACAATAGGTGGGGAAACACGGACGTCTGGTTTCATCGCCAGTTGGTGGGGTTTGATACTATTCATGTCAGGTAGGTGAATGGACCCTTGGGGAGAAGACTTTATGCTTTTCATTAACAAACAGTTATCAAGTGTACATTCTTTTTAAGATAGGAAGTACACTGGTAAGACATACAAAACCAATCATGCCTAGCACAAGAGGCTGTAACATCATGGCTGTAAGCACATTGGCCTTCCTAGCAAACCGGCTCTTGTTTCTCTTCCTAGGTGGCTGAGTTACCCTCTTGGAGTGGGTTTCTTCATTTGTATGTACCATCTGGGCCCCCCACGTACCAGTTTGGATTGTCTTAATGATTAAAACATCTATAAAGTGATAAGCCTTACAATGTTTTTAGAGATTTTTAGTCAGTTATATATAATGCCTTAATTTATAAGAAGAAATGAATCCATGTTAGAATGGGAAAGTCTACATATAGTGAATGTAAAAATAATATTGAAAGCCGGGTCAATTTAGAAGGCAAAACCAAGATATTTTGAAAGACTACTGAACAGCCCATTTGTCAGAATTGGTTAGTGTTTTGAGTTCCATTAAGAATATGAGTCTAGCCAGCTGTTGGGTTCGTCACACCAATTCCAGCTGTGATTAGAATGGTATCTGAGCATAGTCACATAGTTGATCTTTATTCTTGTTAATTTTCATTTAATATATTCGTATTATTGAAAAAATAAAATGGACAGGAATTCTATGTAAATGCTAACTATGGACAAATGCCACTGTACAAGAGACCTGTTTCCAGTGACATTATTCCTTCATACGTGAACAAGTGGAAGTTTTAGCTCCTTGATATCCTAGCTTATGTAAGCCAAAGTGCCATCTCATTCCTCATTAGAGGAATGCATTTCAAGAGGATTTTCTTAGATTTGGTATACTTCATTTCTAACTTAAAATTTTTTGCTAAGTATAAATTCCTAAGAAAAAAATTTCAGGTTGTTTCATTCTCATTTTGTTTATTTTTTAATGTTAAAAATGTAATTTAAGTGTATGAGCATCTTGTTTACATGTATGGGTATCACCTATGTGCCTGGTACCCAGGAAGGATAGAAGAGGGTATCGGATCCCCCGAGACTGGAGTTGCATGTGGTTGTGAGCCACTATGTGGGTGCTGGGAATTGAACCTGAGTCCTGTACGAGAAAAGCAATACTTTTTAATCCCTGAGCCATCTCTCCAGCCCCCTCCTTTCTGTGTTAGATTTCCCTGCTTAATATAAATTCAGGCTACAAACCAAAAGTTTACAAGATACAAAAATCCTTGTCTTTTTCTGTTAGTTGGCATGCCTTTTAAAAGTCATTGCAGGAAGGTGGGTGTGTCTCTGGCAGAGGGGTTATTTTTATTCAGCTCTGCCTATTCAAATTATAGGAAGTGAATTTCTTTCCCTAAAATAGGCTGTTGGTTGCCTGGTGCCTCTCTCCAGGGCCTTCCTGTGGTGCAGTGAAACTTATAACGTTACATCTGATGATCTCAATACATCCCCGCACTGCACTTGGAATGGAGATGAACTACTACGCCTTCCATTGTGATTTGTGATATGGAGGAAACCAGAGATCCATTTGTGAATGGGCGCACATGAATAGCAATTTAAATGAGGAACTCTGGGGTGGAGGCAGATTAGAGCAGTTGCTCCTTGCATAGGTGGGGGCACTAAGAGCTTGTGCTCTTTGCTAGATCTTAGATGTGGAAGATCGTTTTATGTTTCTCACTATTCCTCATCTGCCCGGGTAGTCATTAGTACACTCTTGCTGATCTAAAAGATACTTGCTGTCAAGGTGTAACACAAGTGAAATCTATTGCTTCACAAGGTGACACGGGTCTCAAATGGTATAGATGCAGGTGGGGAGATCACATTCTCTCTCTCTCTGTCTGTCTCTCTCTGTCTCTGTCTCTGTGTCTGTGTCTCTGTCCCTCTCTGTGTGCCTGTATGTGTGTGTATATATTAATAAACTCCATGGGTACTGCGGTATTTGTCTACAATTGCTTTTCTCATGGTGTGGTGTTTCCTTACACACTCACTAGGCTGTAGAGACCCAGAGAGAGAAAAGAAAGAACTTTCTTTTACAATTTCCAATTTACCTGCCTTTATGTTTATGCTGCGGAAGAAATTAAGGCAGGTTTTCTACCAGATATAGAATTTATGATCTATGGTTAGGGCGGTGAAACCCACTGAAAGACGCCAACCACAAGGAGGCACCAGGTATGGAGGAACTTGGTGACATCCTCCTGACAGCGGTTTGGTAAATTCTCATCTTGACGTGGCACCGCTGCTGTGCTTGCTTATTCTCAATGCAAGGCAGTGCTTTGGTGGAGGTCTGTGCACAGTCAAATCCCAAGGGAGTTACAACATTGAGAAGAGCTGACTCATTAAGAGCCGTTCACTGGGCGCCCGAGCTGTTGACTACCTTTGCTTCATAGTTCAGTCTCCTCATTTAGCTTCTCTTGCTTTGCTGAGACATTGTCTGCAATGACTTGGTTAATCATCTACTCTGAAGACAACGGAGAGATGAATAGGCTAACCCGAGTCCTTGGGGACCTGAACACCCAGCTGGGTGGGCTTTGTCCCTTTGTGGAGAAGGAGCCAGGTTTCTGCATCTGCCTAGTGGCTCTTGAGAAGCCATGCATCTAGGTGGAGGTTCCCTTGATTCCGTGCTATAGCAGGCATTTTAAGTCACTCGGATGATATATTTTTTTTCCCTACAGACAAAACTATTGCTACCAAACAAAAATGGAACTAAGGGTGGACTGTTTTGAAGGAAATATACCTAAAAATATCCATCCCCATCTCTTTAAAAAAATTGGCTGGAACACCTGGATTTTTCTGAGTGTAATTTTAGTTAGGTAAACACTGAAAAGATATTATTTTTCTAAAGAAGGAAAGAGCACTTTTACGAAAAATGACAGTTGGCTGTCCTCTTCAGTGGTAGATCAGTTCTGCAAAAATGATTTTCCTTGTCTTATAGTTGAATAAAGTATAAATTCAGTCAGGGCCAGTGACATGGCTAAGTTGGTAAAGGTGCCTTCTGTCAAACTTGATGACCTGGGTTCTGTCTCTGGTACCCACGTGGAGCAAGGATAGAGCCCATATCCAAAGATTGTCCTCTGACCTCCACATGTGGAGGTTGTCATGGAAACAGCCCTCCATCACCACCACTTGTAGCCGCACAAAATAAGCAAACTAATAAAGTCATAAGAACTCAAACACTAATGTGATTAGCATCATTATTGTTTACCTGAAAATATTTACCCTTTAATAGGCGTCTTTGTAGGATGCCCGCTTAAGAACAGAGAGACACATTGCGGATGCTTTTCTATACAATCCTTCAGTGTTTGTATTAATGTGTGCACTAAACAAGCTCATTAAAAAGACATCTGGGTTTCATAGCTGTGTGGGATGTGCTTCATTAGGTTTTAAATATTGGTGAGCTGTCTTAAAAGCATGCAGAACTATATTTGGTATATACCTAAAGCAGCTTCCAGGCAAATGGTGCTGACCTTAAGGGTCTGGGTTAAGGTAGTCAAACGATCCTTGGTATATTGAATAGGGAGTCAGAAGGAAAATTATGACAAACTTCTAAAGAGTTAGACAGCATAATTTAATAGCTACATAAACCATTGCTAAACAAGTACAAAAATAGAAGGACATACTTTACTCTAGTCAGAAAGCAAGGAAAACAAAGAAAAAGAAATAATTTGGGACTTGAAGTCTGACTGTTATATGTTATATACTATACCCCTAGGTATATACACATACATTCAGCACATGGTAATGCACTCACCAAGTGAATTTGAAGATTGAATCTGAAAGCATCTGTGTCAACATTTCTAGAAGATGCTGGTCACCATCTGTGATGTTGGTCAGAATTGTCTGGCACAGTAGGCTGTCAGAGAATTGGTGAAATCATCAGAATGTCTCATGACTTCTAAATTAGATTATATAGGACACTTTAAAGCACACTGTAGGGAACAGCTGAACTTGGGGAAAGCAATAAAAAGTTGTTCTGTGTCATTCTTTCCCACCTCTAATTGCTCATGCTTTCATGGGGTTTAAAAATAAAAACCATAAAATATGATATTTTCAGAAATGTTGGCAGGGCCTAAATTTATGAGAGCTTGTGACCAAACATGAATACATCGAATATTCATGGTTTTTGCTACAGTTTGGATCATAAATCTCCCCCACATTCCCATGTATTGAAGACTTGGTCCTCAGCTGGAGGCACTGCTGGGAGGTAATAGGACCTTTAAGAGGCTGTGTTTAGTAGGAGTTTTTAAATCATCAGGTTAGGCCCTCATCACTCCTCTTCCTCTCTTTGGTTCTCAGCTTCCTCTGCCTTCCCACAAGTCCAACAGCAAGGAGGACAGCCGACTAGGGACTAAATTCTGCAAAACTGTTAGCCAGGGTTAAACTGCCTGGAGCCTGTTTTTCATTATTACCATCAGACATTCATGCTCAATTATATTAATATTTATAGGGGAAATAAATTGTTTTATAGTTTTGACTCTACTAGATCATATATTTGGAATTTTAGTTGTAATTTAACTCTTTAGGACAAATTTATTGATCATTTCATTTTGTTTTTGTTTGAGACAGGGCTTCTCTATGTAACAGCCCTGTCCTGTTCAAAAGAAGTGACATTGGACAGTGTTTGAACCAATCTTTCTACCTCTGCATTATAACAAGTCTCTGAAATCTCAGTAGGTTTGGCACGTATTCAGAATCTAGCTGATGCTTCATTATTGGGTTATGTACCTCCTATAGATTTCCTCTGTCTTAGCTACTGCAATACTGAAGCTACTGCAATACTGGTTAGCTACTGCAATACTGAAGTCTGGTACAGTAGACTTTATGGTCAACAAAGTCATCAGAATCTACAGAACCCAGCCCCAGGGAGAAAACAAGAGCTAGGCCCCTGGGTCTGTAGAAGTATGGTGCTGTCTCACCTCTGCTGAAGAGTCAGAGATTGTGCTGGCCACATGCTTGAATGTGATTCCGTGGGAACTGCGGATACCAAGGGTGGAGACGCTTGAGTTGGACAACCTGATGTTGGAGCTGTTAGCAGAAGCTGGAAATGCTTAGGACTCTGTCTGAGTCAGAGGACTTTGAACTGTGGACTTTTCTAACAGTTGCTTTCAATTAAGTCAGCCTGGCCTGCTGGGATTCTGGCAAGTCAGCTGTTCAGAAAACTCCCATTCTTTGGAAATGTTCTGACTTTCCCAAGCTTTTACTCAGCATCTTGGATTTTGTTTTCATTTCCATTTTCAGATTTATAATCGCTTAGATACAAATTGCTGTGGATTCAGACCTCGCAAGGAAGATGCCTGTATGCAGAATGGACTGAGGCCAAACTGTGACGACCAGAATTCTGTGACTTTAGCACACATTGTCCAGCGAAAGAATGACCCAAGGCATTTGGTCTTCATAAACAATAAGGGTTTCTTTGACAGAAGCGAAGACAACTTAAACTTCAAACTGCTAGAAGGCATCCGAGAGTAAGTTTTCAGTCTGCTGTGTGAGTCCCCTCTTTCTTTAGCCTGGGCTGTTCTGGAACTCTCTGCGTAGTTCAGGCTTTCCTGGAACTCACTGACTTCCAAGCTGACGTAACCTTGCAGTCAGCCTCCTGCTTCAGCTTTCAGGCTAGGATTACAGGAAGGAGCTGTCACACCCAGAACAAAGAGTACACTTTCTAATGACGTGACATCTTGGTTGATCACACATGTGGTCAACGACTAGTCATATTCCACAAAAACTCAGGCCTGATGTTGGATAGATTTCCAAAGAAACTGTGAGTGTGGGAAGAGAGACCTAAGGGAGTTAAATAGCCTTCCCAAAGCAGCCAGTGTATCTACCAAGAGTCTTCAGTGCTCCTACCACAATCTACCTTCACCACCTTGCTCAGCCTTCATTGTGAGAACCTGTGTGGGTGAGGTTAGACAGTTTCGGGGCTGTCAGGAATAGGGAGAATCAGGTAGCCAAGACTCTGTGATTAGGGCATGGGAGAAACAATAGAGATGTCCAGATCAATAATAAATGATTTGGCCTGTCAATAGAACTGATAAGCATGGCAGGATGTCAGATTCATGATAAACTCACATGATTGCTATTAATACAGGGGAAGAAAGACTCTCTGAAGAGCAGGGTACCAGAGGACAGCAGACCCTTCAAGTTGGGTAGGAGGACTTCGGAGGACTCAGAAGTCTTTACAGTAGACAGACTGTGAGGTTGGATCTTGAGCAAAGGAAGACCTGCAGGAGGCTAGACCATGAAGTACTGTTATACGCACTATTGGCCAGAAACTCAGAGGTGACCTAAACAATTTGGCAGACATTTGGTAGGACTTAGAAAGGATACGGAGTAAAGGGGTAGTGTATGTGTGTGTGTGTGTGTGTGTGTGTGTGTGCGCGCAAAACTAAAGAAGATAGTTGTGCCCTGTGGAAGTAAGAACACAGTCGATCTCATGCATTTGTGGGTAGAGGAGGTTCAGACTCCCGAGTTGCAGGAACTGGTCACAAAGTCTGATCAGTCCCATCCCAGTTATATAAGTCGGGACTAAATTTCACAGCAAGGGGAGCCACCCTCGATCATTACCCATTTTAATTGGAAATAAGATTCCCTAATTAAATTAGATTGAAAGCTTAAGAGTCCATAAGATAGTGACAGCTCCCCAAGAACTGAGCAATGTCAGGAAAACACCCCGGTAAGTCTGAGGTTAGTGATAGAACTCAGCTTTTCCAAGCCTGCTCCCCCTGTTTTTTTGTTTTTTTTTTTTCTTGCGGATCCTTGTACTTGTGTTCCATGCCCAGAGCTTGAAAGCAAACCCAGACGAGCACAAATACTGGTGGGACTCCCCGACGACCCTTTGTCTGCAGCCCATTGCAGTTGCTTCTCCTTGACTTTGCACTTAGATAATGTGGATTTTATGTACTCCCAATGCAGAAAAAGCACACTCTTCCTGCTGGTTTTGAGAGTCCCGTGAGGCTGTGGTTTTTTTGCCACGTCTTTCCCTGTTGATGCTCTTCACATCTCTGTGAATTGAAGGCAGACTACGTGACAGATTCTCCCTTTTAAATGTCTCAGTCAAGGAGATTTTATTGCATAGAAAAATTGACATTCTCAAGACATCACTTAGTAAATTGATACTACTGGGGCTTAAATTTCTCAGCAGAACTGAGAGTACCAGGGGCACACATCTGTTTATCTTGAACATTCACATAAATGTGAATACTTTTAATAATATGTATAGTTAACTAAGTATAATTAATCGATTATTTGTTAATTATGAATATGAATACTTTATACAGTAAAATGCTGCTTGGTTAATTCATAGCCCACAAGACTGCATGGCCCATGTCTTTAGGGAACCCGGAACACACAATAAGCCTTATTGAACTTCACACTTCTGAGATTTAGTAAGCATGCTCAGCTCTGTGACCTTTGGTCGTCTAGCATCTTCAGAATTCTCGACCTTGGGTCCCTGGTGCCCATGCATCCCGGGTCTTGTCTCCAGGTTTGTCTCTAAATAAGTGCACATTCTTGCTATGTAGTTTTTGAGGTACAGCTGAATTGATTTGAAAGTTGCTCTTGAACTCCAGGGATTATATGGTGATTTTAGCAGCATTTTAATGAGAGCTAGAGGAGGCCAAGCTGACATGTGGCAGAATATAATCTATGATTTAAATGAGAAAATTTAAAAAAAAAAGATTTCTGTGTACACTGCTAGATCCTATATATGCTAGACACTGACTCTAGCTTTTCTCCATGAAAAAAAATCAAGTTCAGTGAACTCTCTCAAGGTGATTCAACCAGATCCTTCTTAAGTGACCTCAGGAGTGTCTAGTGAGATGTCATCAAATGCTCTTGCTCTGAAAGTTTACAGCTACCACCCTTTTGTTACTGTAACTAATGTCTGAGGAAACCACCTTACAAAATGGGAATTTATCTCAGTTCACAGCCTCAGAGGTTTCTGTCCACATCCACCTAGGCTCTGCTTCTTTGATCCTTTAGTGGTACTAAAAGCCACCGCACTTCCATAAACCAATGTGATGGGAAAAACAGTAGTAGAGTAATGGTTTTGTTTTCTTCAATAAACAGCACTTTTATAATCAAGGATGGGAGATCCTTTCCAGTGCATGGCCAGGAATTGAAAAAGGGGAAAGGAGAGGGTGGAGTCCAGTATCCCTTTCAAGGTGTGCTGCAATGACCACAGCCTCCGTTATACCTCACATCCCATCTCCAGTCATAGCACTCTAAGGACTAAGTCTTTAATACTTGGACATTGAGGGAGAGGACCTTCGAGATATAAATTAGAGCATCATTTGATACTCTACTTAAGAAAAACACCGGCCTTTCTCCCTTCTGTTCTGTCATGTCTATTGTTGTTGTCCTTACTAGATCATGTCATGCTGGTGAGAATTTTTTGGGTACAAACTACCTGATCTTCTGGGCCTTTTAATCTTTCCAGTCTCTCTTCTGCAATGTTTTCTGAGCCCTAGGTGTGGGAGTTGTTTTATAGATAATCCATTAGAACTTGATTACATGACTCCTTAACCCTACTCAAAGAATTACAGACAACGGAGGAAATGCTGAGAGCCAGAGAAATAGTCTTATCCAGGGAGGAGTACACCAATTGGTTATCAAGTACCAAATGGTCAACCTTGAAAACACACACACACACACACACACACAATAGTATGTAGACTGGGCAGATCTTTTTTAAGAATAGATATGAATTCACATACACGTATGTTTATGTAATAACAATGGAAAAGAGGCTATGAATTTGAAAGAGATCAAGGAGAGATTTATGGGGAGGATTTGGAGGGAAGAAAGGGAAAGGGGAAATGATTATTTTATAATCTAAAAAATAAAAGAAATGACTTAAAAAAAAGAAAAAGACAAGTACTGGCAAACACTCAAGTTCCAAAAGTGTAATCTGAACTACAGGGAATTCTTCTTTTAATTGAACTTTCTTAAAAAAAATAATAATTTCCCTTTTGTTCTATTAGAAGTTGAAGATAATTGAACTCTAAACTCTAGGTTTTGCTCAGGGAGAATACTCCTCTGAAACCACACACACTTTGCTTCTCACCTTTTCTTTCATTGGACCCACCTTGCTACTGACGAAAGCAGATTGAAAGGTTCTCTGTGGGACATATGGAGCTTAAGACGAAGGGAAATACTTCTTCAGACCTAAAGTGATCTCGCTTCTGTGCCTCTTTTTGCCAGTCTGTAACAACCTTTAAGTAAGAAATTAGGATGTCAAGTTCTAGTTTAGATAATTTGTTTCAATTGAAACAGACTTTTCTTACATTTTATTTTTAAGAGAAGAGTCTGCTTGACGGTGACAAAAGCATTGTGGTTCTCAAGGTCCCATTGGGTAGTGTGATAAATGCCAGATTAACGAAGGCAGAGCAACTGGGGGAAGGAACAATGATTCTGAGCAATTGCGAAGAGCAAAATACTGTGTTATCATTTCAGGTTTCCAGACTCTGCTGTTTCTGTTTTGAAGAGCCAGCACTTACGCCAGAAGCTCCTTCAGTCTCTCTTCCTTGATAAGGTTTACTGGGAGAGTCAAGGAGGAAGGCCAGGCATCGAGAAGCTCATTGATGTGGTCGAGCAGAGAGCCAGAATCCTTGTCACCTACATCAATGCACATGGCGTCAAAGTATTGCCTATGAACGAATGATAAAGGGCTTTCTGCCTCGAGGGCTGTACACATGTGACTTTTGGGTTTTCTTAAATAAAGCATTTCAACCATAAGTGTTTCTAGAAGGGAGACAACATAGCTGAACATACAAAAGTGCCCCAGTATATATCATAAACCAAGTTAAAAAAGAGTTTGCAGAGTTTAAAGATATGCATATTCAAGGAGTCTGGGAATAGCATATTGCTTGCAAAATGCCTGATGGTGTTTTTTGCCTAACACTCTGGCACTTGTGTCTCAGCATTGTCATTACACAATAGCCTTAATTATTATTCCCACTAATATTTAAACCATTGTCATGCTATTTGACGGAGCAATATAAACCAGAGGCACTGACTCTTCTAATAAACCATTCTCATGCCGTTTGACTAATCTGACCAGCTCCCAGCAGAGAGTTTATTGACATTATCTTTATAAGGATACTACAACCATTTCCCTAACCCTATCCAGAAGCCATTCTACAACAGGAAACTGGGACATGTGGGCTGTGAAAGCAGCAGAGTCTTGAATCAGCTTCTAAGCAGACTTGGTAGTAGATTCATTCACAAACCAGCAGTGTATTTTCCTAGAGTCCATAAACAATCAGGTCTCTCTCATCAACCAAAATCTCATATCCATTCCTTTTAAGAAATCAACTGTCAGCA